CAGAGAGCGGAGGGATTAGGCAACCTCCTGGCCACGTCCCTGGAGGGTGCTGCCACCCCAGGAACCAGCCACCTCGGGAAAGTGGCAGAGGTGGCCCCAGTGATGTCCCTGACTCCGGGGTTCGGTGAAGGACCAGTGGAAGAGGTGGCCCCAGCGATGTCCCCAACTCTGGGGTTCGGTGAAGGACTGCTGCATCCCAGCTCAGCCCCACACACCCCCAGCGCTGCAGGCAAGGCAAGAATCCAACCTACATTAAAAAATAACTTCTGCTCCAACCTCATGGCGCTGAAGAAAAGCTCGAGAAGATTTCCAGGAGGACAGCAGCAGCAGCTTTGGTGCCTTCTGAGCCTCTGGAGGAGGTGGGAACTGACCCATCTCCCACAGCCTTAGGGACTGTTGAAACCCCTAAGCTGGCAGAGAGAACCAAGATCCTCCTGCCCGAGACCCATCTCGGATGTCACCAGCTCCGTAGGGCTTTAAGCCAGGCCCCTGTGCCTGGTCTCTCCTTTGCTCATCTCAGTTTTGCTCTGAGATTTAGTTTCACGTATAGGAATGTTGCCTTTCCGACCTGCTACAGAGATTTTGTTGTTGTTCTAATGCAGATTCACTTGTCTTTAATGAATTCAGGAAGTGGGAAGAGGGATCCTTTCTTATTACATCTGAGCAGAGCAGGATTTATGGTCCCTGGACTATAAATCATTCCCAGGAGTCACACGGCAATATGACCATGATCTTGAGCCTCTCATAATTCCAGGGGTTCACCTCCAGTAAAGGGGCCAGAGGATGCTGAGGGCTGTGAAAGGCCCAAGAATCTCACAGTGTTTTTCCAACTTGCTGAAAACCTTTTGTCTGGACAAATCACAGTGAAGAGATTGGTCCAGAAAGTCAGCGGGACCCAGCAGCCCAGTGCCCCTGTCCCGGTGGGTACGGCCAGGGCTCAGATCTGCCTCACACAATCTGCTGTAGCATTTATCTGGTGAGGCAGAGGGACTGTATAGGAATGTTGCCTTTCTGATCTGCTACAGAGATTTTGTTGTTGTTGTTCTAATGCAGATTCACTTGTCTTTAATGAATTCAGGAAGTGGGAAGAGGGATCCTTTCTTATTACATCTGAGCAGAGCAGGATTTATGGTCCCTGGACTGTAAATCATTCCCAGGAGTCACACAGCAATATTATTATGATCTTGAGCCTCTCATAATTCCAGGGGTTCACCTCCAGTAAAGGGGCCAGAGGATGCTGAGGGCTGTGAAAGGCCCAAGAATCTCACAGTGTTTTTCCAACTTGCTGAAAACCTTTTGTCTGGACAAATCACAGTGAAGAGATTAGTCCAGAAAGTCAGCAGGAGCCAGCAGCCCAGTGCCCCTGTCCCGGTGGGTATGGCCAGGGCTCAGATCTGCCTCACACAGAATCTGCCGTAGCATTTATCTGGTGAGGCAAAGGGTCTGGGTCTCACCGAACGAATGACCAACACTGAACACATGCTGTTTTCCAGATTTAAACACAGGCACCAAGAGACAGAGGAAACAGTTTTGCTCCAAACCCAAAGCCCCAGGATGTCTCCAACTCAAAATCCATCTCTGCAAAGTCTATATTCCTTCCAAAGCCATACTCTGTCCCCAGACCCCAGAGCCCTTTCCTCCCTGTGGAATTATCTGCCTGCTTACACGTCCTCCAGCCTGATGTCTGTCTGTCCTTCCATCCATCCATCTGTCCATTCAGCCCAGGGTCTTCCACGCTGAGCCCTGAAGCTCCAACATTGCTCATTCCACACACGTCGAGGGCTCTGGGCACCTCCAAAGCCGGGCTGGCTGGAAAAACTGCTCTCCCAGCATGAAAACTAGCATAGAAGAAAAGAGACAAAAAGGGCCAGGGTTGTGCTGGGCCAGTGTGTGTGAAAGGGAGCGCTTTCCTCCGTCTCGCTGAGGCGACGTGGTGAGAAATATGGTTCCAAAACAAAGGATGGCAAGCAGTTACCAGGGAGGAGCAGGCTGGCGTGAAAGAAAAAGAAGCTCTACAACAGGCTCATCCACCTGGTTTATTTGGGAAAAAAAGGTTTACCTGTTTCTTGGCATTTACAGCTGCCCACTGATTTTATTTGCTTTTAAGGTAAACTTCCTGATGAATTAACCAAGCCCAATCAACACATATTTAAAGTGCATCTTCCTGACGATGCAAACACAATGTCTGTCCAGGAGAGATACCATGGAGCGAGTGTCACTGGAAATGTGGTCACAGCTGGGCGCCTGTCACTTCCCACCCCAGAGCACCAGGAGGGTGGTCAAACACGTCAGATCACCTCAATCCCAACTTATCAACGGTTCCAGGTGGCCATTTTTAAGCATTTTGTCCCACTTTCCCTTCCCTGTGTGAGAGCCCCAACTAAGCAACCCCAAGCTCAGCTTCACCAAGGGAACGGGGCCATAAAGCCAGGACAATGAATGCCAAAGTCTCTGATGGTCCATCAAGGTGCCAAGAAGCTGCACCAAGTGGGACAAGCACCTACAGAGCAGCACTGCCATCCCACCCGTGCCTCCTGCCTCTGCCCAGTCACCTGCTGGTGTGACACTGGGGCACCGAGGGACCGGCTGGGACACGGCAGCAGCCACTGTCCCTTGCCAAAACATCCCCATGGGGACAACACACGAGGGCCAGGCGCCAGGACATGGTCTGAATACCGAGCTCCTGTGCTGAAGGAAAGGCCTCCCTGGGAGTTTGCTCTCTGAAAACTCTCGTCTGAGGCTTTTTTAAACAATGTCTGGTCCTTCCTGCTGCAGAATCGCAGCCCTGGCCTGGCGGATAAAAGGGTTGCTGATGCTGTTCCATCCCTTGCTGGAAAATACATGCAACATCCCTGGAAAGTTGATTGCTAATATGGAAACGCTGGCCAATTTCCTCATTGTGTAAGTGCCAAGAGCACAGATGAACTCCTGGAGGCTGCTATGGAGGGGACTGTGAGCACAGAGCTGGGGACGACGTTTGGTGGCAGAAGTGGCAGTAATGGTCTCATCTCTTCCTGAAAATCGAGGGAACACAGTTATGCCCCTGAAAAGCTCCATTAAATCTGAAGGTTTCATCTACATTTATATTAACATGTCAGCTCCTGCTGGAAAAACGCCTGTCCCAGGCAGTAGCACGACAGCTTTGGAGGTTTCCTCCCACCGCAGACCTGAGATCTGTTCAACATCAAGCCTGAAGATGCTCATTTCATCTCCTTCATTCTGCTACTTCAAAGCCCAATTTAGCCAGCTCCTTCGACTCAGTCAATGGGATTTGAGGTGAATGTGGCTGCTCCCCCTTACGCTGATGGACTCTGATCCTCCCTAGAATAGAGCAATCCTATTTGTGACCATCCAGCCCGGTGCCCACTCCTGAGCCATCACCGACAATTCCTTGTCCCTTTTCAGAGACACAGAGCGCTGCCCAGAGTCCCTGGATTTAGTAGAGGTCTCTGGTTAAGAGCAAATGGCACAAACTTGGCTGCACTGGGATGAAGGGAAAACACCTGATGCCATGTTGGACTAGAAATGGGATTCTAAGAAGAGAAAAAGCTCAAAAATGTATCTAGCCTACTCTGACTTTCCACATAACGGAATAACACCGGTTCTCTAGATGGTTTTTGCTCAAGCCACAAATTCTGCAGGTCTCCTAGAAAACTTCCAGCCATGTTTTGAATAGTTTATGTGTTGCAGAATACAGGACAACTTTTAGGTTGTTTATAGGGTAAGAACACACCATGCTCCAACAGCCACCTGAGCCAACACAGAACCACGGGGTCTCAGCAATGCTTTAATAAGTAATAAAAGTGTTCTTTTGTGCCTTCTTTGATCATTCCCTATTTATAAGGCCCAAGATCACAAGCTGTTTTTTTCAGCTGCCATATTACACCACATTACCTACTGATAATAGCTAAAACACACCTGCAAACATGCCTTACATAGAATCGTAGAATGATTAGAGTTGGAAGGGACCTTAAAGATCATCTAGTGCCACCCCTTGCCCTGGGCAGGGACACCTCCCACCAGACCAGGTTGCTCCAAGCCCCCTCCAACCTGGCCTTGAATCCCTCCAGGGATGGGGCAGCCACAGCTTCTCCGGGCAACCTGGGGAGTTTCCTGGACGAAGATACTATTTCCTACGAATTGGGTTTCAGTGCAGACAGCAGATACTAGAGACAGATGGAGATGAAGAGGAGAAACTCAAAGGTGGGTTACGGAGACATGGGGTCACTCGATAACACCATCTGGGCTGGTGTTATCGACTCCTCGGCCTGGGAGCCGTTCCGCTTCACGGTGTCTTTGGCAGTGAAGCCTTAAGGACTTCCCACCAAGGCCATTTGATCCCACCAGCACGTCACAGCTCACAGCCCCTCTCAGCACTGCTGTCGCTTGTGGCGTTGTATCGTTAACCAGATCGCCGAGCCAACATTGAGCAACTGGGGTTAAAAATAAACCCTTAGGGCCCAGTTTAACCACCCAACTTCAATGGCAGAAGCGAAGGGGCAGCTGAGAGGTGGGAGAAGCAGCAGAACTGCTGGAACACCTTCCTCCCAAAAGGAGCTCCTGCTGCATGTCCCCCATTTCCCCTCCTCTGCTTTTCCAGACCCCGGTGGTTACCAGTCTGAGGAACATGCCATTGCACAGCGACACGTCTCTTAAGCACACAGCATTTTCCATTTGCCAAAGTACATCTAGTCCTCAGCCCACGTTGTGCCGCAGGTTCCTGCACCACCGTGCAGCCCACCTGCATCACCGACACCATCGCCACCAGTTTTTCCCCACAAGTAACACAAAGGTAGGGAATGCACTGCAAGTTATTCAGCAAACGGAGCCGATACAAGTGAGAGGGGGCATTTTTTGACCTCAGCCATCCTTCGGAGTCACGGTCCCTGCTCCTTTGCTCCCATTGTCACCTAGGCACTGCAAGCAAAATAAGTCCACATCAAGGGTGGAGGCAAAGAGAGGGGCTGAGACACCCGAGAGCACATCAGAGCAGGAGAGCTCAGGGAATGCAAACACCTGGAAAGGGAGATCTCATGAGAGGAGGGTATTTCAGCTGTTGGCAAAGCCCTGCCAGGAGGAGCAGCGGGGAAGTGCCAGGACCACAGAGCTGCTTTGGTGCTCATCAAATGGAACAAGTGTCCTGGGAAGCTGCTCTGAAGGAGGAGCTGGAAGGTTTGCAATGTGCTTTTTCGCAGCATGCAATCCCTTGGGAATATCTTAAAGATTTATCTGGAATAGGCTCTCTTGTCCACCACGGTCTCCCATGTGAATCGGTTACAGTTTCCTGGGAGGGTGACAGGGACCCCACGTTGGAGGCTGCACATCAGGCAGCAGCTTCGTCACTTGTCACAAATTCCCTTAATTAACGTACATCACACTGCTGCTGAGACGTCCTGTATTTTGCCTCTTGTTTTTTGTGCACAAAACACTCTAAACGGATCACTGGGGCAAAACAAGATAATGCTCTTTACAACGACAACACACGCTGCACTGCTGCCCGCTTTCTGTGGTCCCCAGCCTGGACCACCCCAAACCCCACTGGCCAGGGACCCCGCAGCTGCGAGTCACTGCTGATCCCCTGCACTGAGCAGGAGCTCCCTCTGCTTCAACCCATCTCTTGCTTTGCAGTTTAAAACAGACTGGAAAATTCCTATGAGGCTGTTGGAAGGCAAGAGAGCAGAAATGCCACGGGCACCGGCAGGAAGGTCTGCAGCATCTGCACGACGCAGCCCTCGCCTCCGAAACCAAGCACCCCCGGATCACGGTGGTGTCTCACACCCGCTGCCTTTCCAGGCTCCTCTTCCAATGTCACCCCTGGATGTCACAGCCCCGACGCCGCGGGGATGGTCTCCCTCCCGCAGCCCTGCTCTGAGCCACGCTTGATTGCATCATGTTTGTTTTTCTTTGCCTTTGAGATCAGGATTCCTCCCACCTTGCCCAGAGCCAGGTTTCGCCCAGTCTCACAAGGAGGGGAGCTGGCGGGTCACCCAAACCCAGGCACGCAGCCAGGTGGCAAAGCCTTCTCCAGCGCGAGTGGCCAACGGGGACAGTGTCCGGTGGGGACAGAGTCCGATGGGGACAGCGTCAGCACCTTCTCAGGCAGCTCTGGTAGGGTTTCCAGAGATTTTAGGCTTACAGCATCTGCTATAGGGCTGAACGACACCTCTGCAGCCCGGGAGCAGCGAGGGGACCCCGGCGCTGCGGGGATGGACCCAGCGCCCACCGGGACCGGCCGCGTTTGCGGAGGCAGTGACCAGCAGAGTCACTGGCAGGCTACTCACCCTGGCTTTGTCCTTGCATCCAGAGGAATTAAAGCCCTTGGAGATGTGGTCTCATTGTTCAAGTTGTGCTTAAGGGAGGCAGCTGCTTTCTTTATATCTCAAGATTCACTAAAGTTCAGGAAGAGAGAGAGAGAAAGAGAGGGGACGGCGAAAGGGGAGGGACTGAGAGAAGGGCCCAGAGGCCGTATAGAATGACAATGGAAGGAAATGCTTTATCAAACCTAGAAAGCCAACCCTGTCCTGGGAACACAGAGGGAAGAAAAAAAAAGAAAAAAAAATCTTGCAGAAGAAAAGCGAGTTCAGCTGCCCTGGGTTCCTCCCTTGGCAGCACAAACCCTCCTCCCCCAGCCCCTCTCTCCCAAACACAATGCGAGCCGGTGAAAGCCGCCAGGCTCAAACACTTTTTTTTCATTAAACAGAGAGAAGTTTCAGTTCTTTAAAAAAGAAAAAAGAAATCCAACAACCAAACCCTGCCCGGGAATGGGAATGTGACGCTCTTCCCCCTCCCCCGGCTCCAGCCTTCCAAGTTTCTATGAGTCAAACGTTTGCAATGTGTTACCGAAATGTTACCAAGCTGGAATGCAGCATCCGAGAGGGTTTAGCTCATAAAACTTTTGTTTGTTGGCTGGGAGAAAGTGTCACCGGCAGAGAATTTGTTTCTTCTTCTTCTTCCTTTTGTTTTTCCCATTCCTTCTGCCACCAGAGAGGGTTAACGGGCTGTGCTACGGTGACACCCTGCGAGGGGGCTATTAACCCAGCACTCCCTGTCCCCAGGAAAAGGGAAATTGCCCTGTTAAGGGAGAGACCAAGGGAAAAGTCAATCTGATAGAGCAGGTGGGAAACAGGGGGTCAGAGAGATATTAAACTATCCAGACACCCTTGGGCACAGCTAAGGAAGACACTGGCTACCAAAGTCCAACTTCTCAGACACAGGTGTTGGGATTTGGGGGTCAGAAAAGCACTATTTCCTCATCTGACAGTCCTTAGGTTTGTCCCAAAATAGAAACTTTCATCCAAGGCAGCCACTTGCAGGGCCCAGCATCTATAGGGTTTTCCAGAAGCATCTGCTCTGGATTTGCACACATCAAATTTCTCAATTTTTCCTCAATAATTTAACAGCCTAACAAGGGAAGGCTTTCTTAAACCACCACCAAAACCAGGGTCTTTCTTCTTGTTTGAGCAGGCCTGGCTTTAACTCCTGGAAATTGATTATTGTTATGCATTTTATCACTTTCAAATCTAGTCTAATCCAGTATTTTCTGGTGTCACTGAGCACACAGAGGGATAATGGGTTGAGAGGCTGCTGGGTTTCGATGCGCTGAACAGATGAAGTTCCTTCAGTAGCTCATGGCGAGTCACGGTCTCTCCTGCTGCCTGAAGCCATCCTTCCTGTCAAGGGTCTGTCTAGGGACAGACATACAGATTTCAAACATTAAATCAGCTGCCATCAGGGAAAAAAAGGTCCAATCTGAGGATTTTACTTTGAATTTGTTCAGAAACATTAAGCCAGGTGCACTCTAAGGTGCTACACTGTTTTAACGCTGGGAAAAGTTTCAAAAGCACAGAACTCATTTAGATGCCTATTTCTAATTTTCACTAAACTTTTAGGTACTTATAAAGAAAAATGATGGGAGAATGCAGGAGGCTTCCTCTCTGTCCACTTAAGAGAAGCCCTGCAGGGTGAGATTTTGTGCTATGCCTGTTCTTGTCTCCATTCCCACTGCTGTCCCCCAAGTCCTCACAGATCTTGGCCACATCATTACCTGCCCTTCATTCCCCATTTCTTTTTTTTTTTTAAGGAGAAACCACCGGTGTTTGTGCAAAAGGCCAGTGAGGTCTCTGACACGCTGAGGGAGGCAGATGTAGCATCTCCCGCTAGATCTCTCAGGGAATTAGGGCCACAGCACAATGGTCTGAGCTTTTGAGCAGCCGAGTCCAAGAGGAGTCCATGAGAATGATGAGTGCAAGAAGGAAAGCAGGAATGTGGGAGAGAAACACACAATGGTTTAGGTGGGAAGAGACCTCAAAGATCATCTAGCTCCATCATCAGCCATGGGCAGAGACACCCTCCACAAGCGGAGGGACTGTCCTTCTTCAGTGCTTGCAAGCCTTAGTCTTTCCAGGAGGTGGCTCCTTCCACTTGGGATTCCCAGCCCCAAACCATTTCCAGGTCTTGTAGCCTTCACCTTTCTGAAGGACCCTGTCTTCAGGGTTCTGCTTCAGGAGGAAGACGGTAATGCTCTTCCTGCCTCACCCATTGCCACCCCAAGTGTCCCTCTCAACAACAGCAGCTGGCCTAACGTAGGACGCCTGGCTTCAGGTTTTGCCTCTGTCTGAGGGAAGGAAAATCTCCAGCAGCCAAGAGAATCCTCCCAGGAGCCCTGCAAAGGGATGGACTCCACCTCTTCCGCTGAAGATGCCCTGATTGTGCAGAGAGCACACAAACTCTCCTGAGAGCGGAGTCTGGGCTCCCTGCCCCACTCCTGGCTTGGACCATCACAATCAACCTGTCCTGGCTGTTTCCAGCCCAAACACAAATTATCCTTTAATGCCAACTGGAGCAACAGCTGTGGAAAAGAGGGACCATGGTGGTCCTTCTCCCACCGCCAAAAACCAAGTGATGCCAGTCCTGCTCTAGCAGGTAGATCTGAATTCCTGAGATGAGAAAGAGCTGAAGTCTTCTCAGAAGCAAACATTTCATTTTGCTGTCACAAGGATGAGGGAGAAAACGTCTCATTTGTCCTCACAGTTGGCAGCAGCAAAATTCACATTCATGGCAGTAGCAGGGCAAGTTCTGGCAGGGGGCTGGGAGGGACCCGTCCGACTACAGAAAACTGCTATTGAGGGCTGTTTTCTCCCCAAAATGACAAGTCACATCCCAGGGTATCCCAGGCAGCCCTGTCCCGGAGAAGTCCCACAGGGGACTTTTTTCTGAGTCTGTTCTCAGATACAAGAACCTGGAGGAATCATGGAGAAAGATGTGAGGGGGGAGGTAAAGATGTGCTGAGGAGAGAGTCTGGCAATCAGCCACGGAGTTTAATGCCCCCAAACAGGGTCACTCCTGCTCCGGGTCTGAACCAAGCTTTTACAATGAGTTCCAAACTTTTACCTAGTTGGATATTTGCACCATTTGCATGTTAGGTGTAAGGACACAAAAGGAATTGCCAAAAGCAGAGTTGTTTAAAGGCCAGGCAGAGATAAGTGATACTGCTTTGTTTAACAAAGGGACATTTCCATATCTAAGGAAGTGAGGCAATCGTGTCTAATTAAGACTGACCAGTCTCCCAGGAGGAAGAAAGAGGGTGAAAGATTAAAAACTTTGTGTTTCAAAGGCAGAGGGGACCGACCAGCCAGGAAAGCTTATGTTCTACCAACTGGAGAACCCAGAAGATGGTGTGTGGCAGCTTGAAGCCTGGAAGTGGTTGTGGTGGTGGATCAAAGGAGGTTCCTGAAGGCGCTCATGATGGGAGGGGTGCCTGAAGGGTTTGGGATGGCCACTCCAAACAAGTTC